TGTAAATAAACACTTAATTGGAAGAGATTCGGCAACGACCGAATGTTCATACGGCGGTTTTACGGCAGAGCAGGGGATACGACGAAAACCCGAAGGAAAAACACCCGAGAGGCGGCGACCCTCACGTGAAAATAATTCGCGAGCATCGCACGGCGCGTTCATCATAAGGCGGGCAATTTCTTTCAATTTTCCAGCCGTCCATTTCTTCCTGCCAGGCTTGGAGCCCCGCAAGAAATATCCCTACGATACGTGCTTCATTTCACGAGCCGCGGGGCGCACGGCTGATAAGAGGGCGTGTTTCACATTTCACGTGAGCACTGGGACACGTGAGAGTATACGGACGACAGGATGCACCTCAGAACGTACAAGAGCTTCCCCGATGACAGAGCAACAATGCGAAACGGACGCCCGACTACGGAGAGGGACTCGAATGGATGGAAACGTTAATCGCAAGCGAGTGACCACGAATACGGCAGAGCGGGCATCATGACGCAAACAGGACCAATCTAGTTCGCAGCAAGTTTTGCAGAACAAAGTAAATTTGGATTGCATTTTCACTGGAAAGAAGGTGAAGTTGGTCTATGCTCTATGGGCTTCAGCGAGAAGCCGGAACAAACGTGATTGCGGTGCGAATTTTCCTTACATGGACACTTACTCGAGTGAATTTTCAAGAAGGCAGAGAAACACCAAGGAAGGAGTTATGTGAAAAAATCCTTGCGTGTTTTAGTGAATATTTCTTTTGACACGACTTCATGAATTTGATCAGATTTTCTTTTGTATTCAGATTTCCCCCCTTTTTTGATATCATTGCTTAGTTAAAAATAATGAGAGTTTGATTACGAAACGTTCATAACTTTACGGAACGCAGTTATCCGACATTCATTTTCTTGTTTTAATTTTTACATTTTTTAGCTTCTGTTCCAGTTGATAATGGGCATGTAATTGGCTCGAAACGTCCTGGTTGGTTATGTATCCTCTAGCCTTGTATACCCATTTTTTTTGTATTTTGGTGTGTTTTTATTGTTATGGCAATACCGAGAGAGCAAAAATTAACACGTCTCATTTCAGCTGAGCTCTTTTTAGATTTTTTAAAACCTCAGGTGCACCCTTATTACGATAAATGAATGTGCACTGCAAGTGAATTGTTCTCATTCCAAATATCCCTTTATCCCTACGGTTTATGGGCCCAGGAGGTTGGGTCCTGCCTAGTGAAACATTTTGCAAAAATTCCTCACACAGTCCGACACGTTACTCTGTGGAGCGATTCCTGCGGTGGTCAAAATCGTAACGTGAAAATGGTTTTGATATTAAAAGCTACATTAGAAATGTTTGAACATATTGACACCATCACGTTAATATACCTCGTTCCAGGGTACACTTTCTTGCCGAACAATTCCCAATTCGGGGATATCGAGTGTGTGTTGAAACGATGTCCACGTTTATACACGCCGGACGACTATGAAACTGTCATAAGATGGCTAGGACCCAAGAACCCTTTATCATAGAAAAAGTTGACAAAGCAGAATTTTTTAGCACGGCTCAAATAGAAAAAAATATAACGAACCGCAAGAAAGACACCCATACACGCCGGACGACTATGAAACTGTCATAAGATGGCCAGGACCAAAGAACCCTTTATCATAGAAAAAGTTGACAAACCAGAATTTTTTAGCACGGCTCAAATAGAAAAAAAAATATAACGAACCCCAAGAAAGACACCCTAGGGAGGAAGATTAATTGGTTCATTTCCGCCAAATACAATTGAGGAAAGAGAAACCTCACTCGATACTCGTTTGCGAAAATTTCTCCGGCCCCTTTAAAGAAATTAACATCGAAAATAAGTCCTAATTTTTCCAGACCAAGCATTTTCTTCCATTCTAAGCTTTCCGGGCTTTCCAGCATTTTCGTGTCCTCTTTAGGGCCTGAGGGAAAGCCAATTTTTGCTGAGAAATTAAATGACATCAAATTCTATTTGCATTTAATCCCCAGCCGACTGCCATCAATTGTATGAGGATCTGTTTACCTCCGATACGGTTGTGGATGACGTCGACGGGTTTGACGGATCCCTGGATTTTGAAATCGAAATTGAAATCAAAAATCGAAATTGATGAGTAAAGCAGGAAAAGATTCGCATGTGAAAGCGAAGAATGAAACATGAGAGGATGTGAGGAACTTTAGGAGGAGGAAAGGTCAATATCAAGGGGAGAGAGGCCCCCAAGGGCCGAGCGAGCAAGTCTTTCTCTTCATCTTCTTTCTTCTCCCAAGTAGCATTTTTCAACTTGATTCCAAGCAAATCACATTGTAATTGGACGCATTTTTGTTAAAAAGAACTATGTGCATAGGGTTTGCCTGCGATATAGTTTCTTTTAGCATAGATACTTACTCATTTAAATTAGAAGGAAGTATATATGCATTGTGACATGGGCCCCGCCATGGATGTATTTTAATAATAATTGTGAGGAACGGGTGAATAAATGACTGTATGTTTGAAGTATTTATAAAGCTAATGGTATAAAAAATGTCGAAAAAGTGAGGATTATACATTTTTATGCAGAGAGGGTTACGTGACGCAGGCATTGACCCCCTTACCCCATTGTAACACATCGTAACGCAGACAGGCTCATACCCCACCCTAAAGATCGTCACGTAATTTAAGAACGCTCCTTCACGTTGGATTCAGCGAACACAAAAAGTTCATACATTTCTGTTACATTCCATCACGATGTCCAGGTTTTCTTTGAAGCCAACATTTTTTTTTGATACCTCCTGGTTTTTCGGGTGCCAGACGTTCTAATCCTACGGGAAGAACCTGAGATACGTGTTGATCGTTAAAATTGGTAGAGAAAACGATAGACAACGAAGACGACAGGAATATGTGGGGATCCTATTGGTGGAAGCGGGTGATGCTATGGACGAAGGAGGTAGGTAATAGACTAACAGTCGACAACCCTTAAGCAACCCGATAGTCAATCATTTTCTCCCTTACTCTATAGGAACCAAGCATTTCAATCAATAGGATCGCTTCATACTCCCTATGTCTTTTTTGTCTATTGCTTTGTTTACCGTTGTCAACGATGAGCCTGCTAGTCAGGATTTATACCAATGGAGATGTTGCATGTGTGAGGGATTTGCGATTTGACCATTGATTCATATGTAAAAGTTCGCGAGAAACACGATGGTGCCGCTGGTTTTCTCTGAAATCATCTCCCAAGCTCAAAAAAAGCTCTCAAAGTGAGGCCAAAATGGAGGGGATATCCCACCCTACCCTGAGGGTCCACCCCTACATCGAGACAAACTCACCATGCAAAGATAGGGAGCAAATATATTAGCAGTGATGCCGAGTTTTCAGTTTTGGAGTCCCCAAATAAAGTGGCAACCCTGCTAATGTATTTGCTCCCTATCTATGTATGGAGAGTTTGTTCTGATGTAGAGGTGGACTCTCAGGGTAGGGTGGGATATCCCCTCCATTTTGGCCTCACTTTGAGAGCTTTTCTTGAGCTTGGGAGTTGATTGCAGAGAAAACCAGTGGCACCATCGTGTCTCTTGCGAACTTTTACATGAGAATCAGTGGTCAAATCGCGAATCCCTCACACATGCAACATCTCCATTGTGACAGGTGCATTTCTAGACACAACACAAAGCGCGGCGTTGCCAACCTTGGGTGCCGGTTAGATGCGACAACGGTGTGAAAGGCGCGATTCCCCGTTCACAATTGCGACTCGCGCCATTTTTCAAAGTTTTACGACTTCCTACCTCGATCCGCTGGCTGCACGCGGGACCGAGTTTGAGAGGCCAAGAATCGGGTACCTCGCTTTTGATCGCCCTTGCCGACGACGCTGAAATATTCAGCGGTGATTTAGCGCGCGCTGACGGCACCGCTTGCAGCCCCGAAGCGGGGCAGCGATGATCGATTGTTTGCGTGAGACATAGTTCTTTTTAGCATAAATACGCTCAATTATCGGCCCGCTGGGCAGACCTTTGCACACTAGGCCAGGTTTGTTAACCAGACTGCCCAAATTGTGGTAGTCATCATAAGGCGACTTAGAGCGTAGACTTCCAAACTATTACACTACATGCCAGGTAAAATAACGAGATTTTAAAATATATCGTCTTAATGCAATGATTGGAACATGATCTGCGAAGAGAGATCATCAAAACATGGGCAGAGGGAACAACGAGCCGGAGGCATGACTCGTAGAAAGACGGAGACAGCTGGAGCGAAAAAAGGGAAAAGTTCAGTGGCTAATTCGAGTCGCTTAAAAACAAGCGAAACAAACATTTAGAATGGAGATGTGAAGCGTCTTAATCACCGAGCGAATATATATCTGCTCGGTGCGCGTGGTTTCCTGGCGACGATTTGCATAATCCCTTTGCTCGAGGAGAGCCTGCGAAATTTTCTGGACTCCTACTTTTTTTTGCTGATATGCAATATCTTCATTCTGTGCTCAAATGATTTATACTGCAAAATGTAGAATCTGAATGCAGTCGCTAGAGTATCATTCAGTAGAAAGTAGACTCTTTCCTTCTCCCTTTCTGTTTAAAATAGACAAATTTGAACATGCAACATATGGAGAGGAACAAGAAATTCCTCTGTTTCTAGAGCGAAATCGTAGGACACAAAATTTTAATACAATTCTCTCTATAACGAATTGGAGATGAACCGTTGATCAACATCTTTTGGTCCTAAAAAAATTGCTTCAAGTAGATGTGAGGGAGTTGAGGAAATAGATGTGTAAGAAAAGAGCGTTCAATTGGGAGGCCGCACATAAAGTTGAATCGCTCAGATGTTATTGATCCTAGCGATTTTATCGCTAAAAAATCTCGACTACATTTCAAAATATCACGATTTTTCTGGTGAGTAAGCAACTTGGGTTGAGAATCTTAAACTCTAGTAAGTATTAATCAAGCGGCAAGCTACCGAATCGTCATCGGAATCGCAGTAAATTCACCTAGAAAAGTAATTATAAAAGCACTAGAAAACAACATGAGACAAAAATTACCTGTTTCGTAGACGAGAAGACTCAAAATGACAGCATATAGCGAGCACTCCTCCACCCGTCGACCTCCGCGAATCATGATCCCTTTGACTTGCAACGCACTCACACGGGCACTGGCCGAACTATAGTCGGCACTTGTCTCGCCACTGCCACGAGTTGAATCATACTTTGAACCGCTACCAATTAAGGTTACTGAGGCGTACCTCACCCACCACTAGAAGAGGGCTCTCAGATAATAGAGGTAATTCAAGGGGGGCACTGTAAAATCCAACTGATTTTAATTTTTAAGCAAACCACGACGCACAAAACTAAACATTTAGAGGGTTATGTTCCCTCGGTTGAGCAGGTTAGACGATATGCGAACTGGAGCGAAATCATCATCAGCCCGATCATTTAGAGAAAAACGAGAGCACTAGACAAGGTAGGAAAAACTACAGAGCTTCAGGAGTTATGGGATGCTAAGATACGGAGGCCACAAAAAATCAAAATTTAATCCGAACGGGTAACGTTCCTCCAACTTTTGAAGTGGTGAGCAATAGATGCTTTGACACGCAGCTTATCAGATCGATGCTGATGATATGGATCCCGCGCGAAAAATTTATAGAATACTGCTTTGTCTTGGTGGATTCAACTCAATAACGTTAAGAGCACCGCGATGCTGAAAAATTGGAAACAATTTTCCTCGGAATTTTCCTCGCTGAACAATGTATGGAGGGAGTGCACGTCCCAATGGGAGAGGCGGAATTAAGTTTGAGTCAGGTGGGGAGGTTTGGGGTCATGATTTATTGAGAACCACCAGGCTGGCGAGGATATGGACTTTTTAAACTGATAGACAAGCGAATGAAGGGCGTCGATTCGCTGCGTCCATCACCAAGTGTACGCCCTCTGCAAGGCGCGTTTGCCTCTTGAGCAGCGGAAACCGGTTGGACATCGATGGAGTGCCCACGCATTTTCGATATCACTTCATGACGGAGAGCTGGAGGTGAGGAAGAAAACGTGTGCGTTCATACGGGGGGCGTTCATAATGGGTGCGTCTTGCGATTACCATATGAGCCTCCATCGAATTCCGCACCCAACCTGAAACAAGAGACGAAGAGTGAAAGATTTCGTACGACGCTAATGCTCCTGTGCAACGGAAAAACGCGCAATGCAAATTAAAAACAATCCTGAACCTCCCCTGGACTCGTGCGACTTAACAAGTGTTAAATGTGTCAAAGTGCTTTATTTAGAGAACTGATGAGATCAACCCCGCTGTTTCAAATGACGCTATTGGTACGACGAGAAAAAAAAATATAATCTCAGGAATCTAAACCAAATTAAATCAGAATTGGAAAATAGAAATGCAGGCTGCAAAGTCCAACACCTTACTTGGTCAACTAGTCTAAGCCAACCGCAGTTAGTGAACTCGTTAAATAATACATTTATGTTGGGGAAAAAAACACATTCCTGTAATATGAATAAAGCTGCAATGCGACAGTAGCAGGATAATAAATGATAGCCTCAGCCAACCTGAACGAGAAAATATTGTAATCTCATTCGGAGGAAAATATTTTTTGTAGAATTTGCAGAATAAGAATTAAATCACGTGATTACTGACTCATACACGAGGAAGTCTCATGGCTGAGTTTGGTTATTTTTAAATTATATAATAAATTAAATAATGGATACATAACTGAATATAGAATCGAATTGATAACAGTGTGAGTAGACGAGAATCCATCCCTTCACTTTGTATGCCTCTTATTATCATAACTACCGCTCTTTTCGCTAAAACGCTATTAATTAAAAACCGACTTTATTTCTCAATTTGACAAGCCCTCGCTGCGGCTGTGTCTCGCGCCCTCCGCCGCCCTTAATAACGGAGATGCAAGCGACGAAAATTTCATCAGTGTGAAGGAGATTGAAGGATAAGCTGGGAAATTGAAAATAACAATGAGGGATACTGTGCGGGAGTTGAGCCGGGAGCTGTCGCCCCGGGGATGAATCGGTGGGCCGGAAAAGGGGCGTCATGTGGGCCGCGCCGGCCACGGTCGCCCGAATAACGTCTCCGCGCTCGACGAGAAGAAAAGGAGGTGCTGCCACTCCCGACTTGTGCACTCCCCATCTTGGAAATAAGATGCTGACCACGTAAATATGTACCGCCTTTATTTCCATCAACTTTCACGAGAACGGTGTGCTTTGCGGAGAGTAACAGCGGGCTCATTCCTGAAATGGTTAGAAAGAGCCATGGACAAAAAAGATGAAAGGGATATGGAAGGATCCCATTCGTGGTAGCGGGTAGCTGCAATGGACAAATGGACATATTTCTATCAAACGGAACTATGTGCATCAAGACATGAACCATGAGACCCATTAGAATATGTGCATAGCAGGGCTCATAATGCACTTAGTTCCGTTTGACAGAAATGCATCGATTAATAGGAAGCAAAAACCACCAGAGAAGTTGACAGGTCAGGATGTATTTCAAGGTTGCTGCCTCTCATCAGCCCAGGAGTTGCTCTTTGGGAAGTATCTTGGGCACCAGTGGCACTTTGGTAGGTGACAAAAGTCACTTAGACAACAATCTCAGGTTTCCTATATTCCTAGTAATAGTAGTAAGACCCTAGATCTTTGCCAGAGAGCAGCGGGGCTGGGCTGATGAGGCAACTACCTTGAAATACGTCCTCAGCTATTGACTTCTCTGGTGGGTTTTGCTTCCTCTAAATACAGCTGTGCAAGGACACAAAATCTTGAAGAGAAATTAAAATTTACATTGTTTCTAACCATTTTTTTTTTTTTTTTTTTTTTTTTTTTTAAATCATAAGTTTTTCTTCTCAAAGTGTGGGATGTTATGTGGATTTTATTTTTCTCATTAGGAAGAGACTTCCATCAGAAATATCAGCGAGTCAAATATCATATTTAATAATGATCCTGATATGACCCAAAATCCTGATACGACCAAATATCCTGATGCAACTCAAAATCCTGATACGACTCAACATCCTGATGAAACTCAAAAACCTGTTCCGAGTCTTACTATAGATGATAGTCAAAATCCTGTTACAAGTCCTACTATAAATTGTATTCAAAGTCCTCTTCTTTCTGGAAGTACTACTCGAAGTCATAATTTACCCTCTAGTCCGATTGTAAGTCATTGTCCTCCTCTCAGTCCTTATCCAGATAATCTTCCTCCTGATGCTAATTCTCCTTCCAAAGAAAAATATGCACGGAGAGTAAATTATTGTCTTTATTGTCAAGATGGTTTCAAAGAAATAATCATCTTACAGTTTAGTTCAGTTCAGTTCAGTTCCGTAATCACACAGTTCCGTCTGATAGTCTTTATTGTCAAGATGGTATCAAAGAAATCATCTCACAGTTTAGTTCAGTTCAGTTCCGCAATCACATAGTTCCGTCTGATAGAAATACGTCCAAATGAGGTAAGTAAAAGACTAACTAACGGAACCCCATGGTTAGTCCCTTATTATTCCCTATTAGTCCCTTAATAGGTAGTATAAGAACGACCCATTTCAACCAATAGAATCCACGAAACGAATGAATAGGATCTATCTATTTTGTAAACGTTTAATTACACTTAGGGGATTATTTATAAAATTGTTCTACATTCCTAACGTCTTAAACAATCTTGTGTCGTTAAGTTACAACGAAATTGTCCACTCAAATTCTGAAACACTGCCTAGGACATCGGACGTTTTTGATGATGATTATGATATTTGTTGCGCCATGGAAACAAGAATTTAAATTTTTACATTTCACAGGGTAGAAGTGTCTTATTTTTGGTGCAATATTCTAAGCAGATCGTTTCACTTTCTTTCAGCTGCAGGCAATGGTACAAGGATTGACGGTTTTCAAATAAGCTGAAGTTGTCCTGACATTTTCTGGAGAGGCATACGCGTTATCATCGACCAAAAAATTGTGAAGATTTGAATCATCTTGAGCTGCAGCTTGTATCAAGTGTTCTGTCCTTCTTCTCATGGAGGCTACGTTTACACTAGAGTGTGTACGACTTCCAATATACTTTCTTGCCGTATACATGCAACAAACACTTTTCTAGGATCACTAGCTCTGTCGTTGTATTTTCAAAATTCTGATTTATCTTGAGCATGCGCTAAATAATTTTTACAGTTGATGCGTTCAAGTGACCTGCTTACATTTTTGGGTGCCACAAACCCTCTAGAATCCTTAGATTTGTTTACAATGGTGTCAGTTGTAAGTTCCACAGAGCATCAAGGGGGGAGATGCCGGTGCCGAAAAATTCTTGCCAAATGAGCATTTCCGTCCCTCCATTGAAAGCAGCCTCATTTCGACGCACGACCTGGCGACCTTCTGCCCGAGTGTGTTATTTACGCGGCAATTAAACACCGCTAAAATCCGCCAGATTCAAAAACCAAACGCGCAAATTGCGACCTGTCCGCCTCGTATTGGCGCAGTCACAAATTAAAAATAAACTTTCATATCTCGCGACGCGCTATTGTTTATTTTATTGCACGGTTCATTGCGCAAAATTTTGCGCAGCGGGGCACTTGTTCCATTGTATGCAGACGGAATGTAAACAGATAAATTTGATCGACTATCGGCGACGGGTTGCCGCTCGGAGCGAGAAAAATCTTCGGGTCCCGCGGGAAATGTGGCGAAGGAGAGCCAAAAGCGGCAACCCTGCATCGGCACCCGTATTTATGTGCCGACATGCTGGGGTGTGATCCGAACGTCCGCCGGGAGGGTTCCGAATCCTCGCGGAAAAACCCCCCAACGCCGTGCGAAATCTGACTTTTTCGGCCCGATCTCGCTTCCAGGGCTGTTAATGCGTTTGGCAAGCATAAATATTTACTACGAGTATCGCGAAGAATACGGTGTCACAGTCGCTGACTTTTTTCGCTGGCGCGCGCGTGGAGTAAGGGAAAAACGGCGCAAGGGCACTCTAATCCTTGTTCCCCAGACAAAGGAAACTATGACGTCATTCCAAGGTGCGGCAAAATTGACACAAATCAATTGCTTACAAGAATATGTGTGAGCAAATAGCTGTAATTATAATCATTAAAAATACAATTTTGTTGATTGTTTGCGGGTATTTAGAAATTAAATAACTACATTTTCAAATCCCACCAATTGGTCACCGTCAGCTGAGACGGACTGAATCGTGGTTGTGGAGGTTGCCACGGTTTGGATTACAGGATAAGTGAGAAAGTTCCCTGGTCCCGAAACAGAAAAAGTCACCTATACTTTTCCTAATTCTCATATCCTTGTAAATCCATCATTTATATCCGTGTATTCATTGTTCTGTATACAAGCCAGTAAATCTGAACACTGCCAATCACATTTCTGTTTCGAATTAGAGCGTTAGGACTCACAAATTCGAATTATAGAGCTAAAATTAAACCTCTTTGTTGCGAATTTTTTCGAATCCACTCTCTATAAATCGAAATTTTGCTGGTTCGAAGGAAATCCTCGGTCCTTCCAGTTCCGACTTCTAGAGCGTCTACTGTAGTAGTACTATCACTACGTATATAGTTTGTGGAGGCATATTTAGATTGCTCTTAAGGTTCAGCCAAAATTAGCGACTCCGTACTGAAATTTTCGTTACGTAGAAGCCTCACTCAGACGATCAAACTATTAGTTGTGGTTCGTTTAACTGGGTCGATTCATCGAAATAGTGTAGCCTAGTTTGTCGAACTAATTCCTGCAATATCAAACGACTAAATTCGGCCAAACCCAGGTTATTTTTCTCGTCGTTCTTCAAATCCAACGTGGGCGTTCAACTTCAATCAACGAACCGCAACTGATCGGTGCATGTAAGTACATCCAGTACATTCCGACAAGAGCAGTATAGGCAATATGCACGTCAGAGCGCGTGTGCAACGGTGTAGCGATGGAAGTTCATCTACGATGTCGAAGGCGCTCCATACGGTGCGTACGCCGCACTATGGTCTGGGGGCGCCGAATTGTGGCCATAAATCAGGAAATGATCAGAATATCATGAAATTTGGTGTACATATGTTTTTTGGGTCGCTGAATTCAAATTTGACCTTAGTTTTACAAAATTCTTAAATCCAAGATGGCGGCAGGCCCTTGAAACCAAAAAA